AATTTTTTATAATCTGGTAGTTAGATACAGAGTTTTTTTTCTGAGTTTGTTTTTGAAGTACAGTTGATCTACAACACTATGTTAATTACTGGAGCACAACATAATGATTTCATATTTCTATATATTTCCAAATGGTCAATATGATAAGTATAGCTAGTTACCACTTGTCACCATACAAAGATATTACATTATTATTGACTACAGTCCCCACACTGCACATTTCATACTCATGAATCATTTATTTGTTAACTGTAAGTCTGTACCTCTTAATCATCCTCACCTATTTCCCTCTCTCTGCCCCCTGGCAACCACTTGTTTGTTGTCTGTATTATGACTGTTTCTGTTTTGTTGTTTGTTTGTTTTAGATTCCACATATAAGTGAAATCGTACAGTATTTGTCCTTCTCTGTCTGACTTATTTCAGTTAATAAAATATCCTCTAGGTTCATCCATGTTGTCACAAATGGCAAGATTTCATTCTTTTTTATTCCACTGTGTATATATGCATCTTCTTTATTCATTCATCTATGGATGTGCACTTCAGTTGCTTCCATATCTTGGTTATTGTGAACAATGCTGCAATGAACTAAGGGGTGCATATATCCTTTTGAATTAGTGTTTTTGTTTTCTCTGTATAAAAAACAGGAATGAAATTGCTGGATTGCATGGTAGTTTTATTTTTTAATTTTTTTGAAGAAACTCCATACTGTTTTCCACAGTGGCTGCACCACTTTACATTCCCACTAACAGTACACAATTTCTCCAAATTTTTGCCAACACCTGTTATTTGTTGCCTTTTTGATAACAGTCATTTGACAGGTAATAAGGTGATATCTCATTGTGGTTTTGATTTGCATTTCCCTGATGATTAGTGATGTTGAGCATTTTTTCATATACCTGTTGGCCATCTGTATATCTTCTTTGGAAAAATATCTACTCAGGTCCTCTGCCCACTTTTTAATTAGGTTGTTTTTTTCTGATGCTGAGTTGTATGAGTTTATTGTATATTTCTAACATTAATCTCTTTTCAGCTGTATCATTGGCAAATATCTTCTTCCATTTAGTAGACAGATTTTTCTCATTTTGTTGATAATTTCCTTTGCTGTGCAAGAGCTTTTTAGTTTGGCGTAATCCCATTTATTTATTTTTGCTTTTGTTTCCCTTGCCTGAAGAGACATTCTTCCAAAAAATGTTGCTAAGTTCAGTGTCAAAGAACATACTGCCTATGATTTCTTCCAGGAGTTTTATGGTATCAGGTCTTACATTTAAGCCTTTAATACATTTTGAGTTTATTTTTGTACGTGGTGTGAGAAAGTAATCCAGCTTGATTCTTTGGTATGTAGCTTTCAGGTATTCCAACACCATTTATTGAAGAAGCTGTCTCTTCTCCACTGTATATTCTTGCTTCCTTTGCTGGAGATTGACCATATACACATGGGTATATTTCTTAGCTGTCTATTCTGTTCCATTGATCTAGGTGTCTGTTTTTGTGTCTGTACCATACTATTTTGATTACTGTCACTTTATACTACAGTTTGGAATCAGAGTGAGTAATAATTTCAGCTTTGTTCTTTTTTCTTGAGATTGTTTTGGCTATTCTAGGTCTTTTGTGTTTCTATACAAATTTTAGAATTATTTGTTCTAGTTATGTAAAAAAAATGCCTTTGGTATTTTGATAGGGATTGCATTGAATCTATAGATTGCCTTGGGTAGTATAGTCATGTTAACAATACTAATTCTTCCAATCCATGAGCACAGTATAGCTTCCCATTTGTTAGTGTCATCTTCAATTTCTTTCATGAGTGACTTAGTTTTCTGAGTACATATCTTTACTTAGTTAGATTTATTCCTAGGTATTTTATTCTTTTTAATGCAATTATAAATGGGTTAAAATTTGTCTATTTTTTTGGTCCTTTGAACAATAAATTACTGTTTCTTTTTTGATTGCTTAAAATAATTCTTCTTTCTAAGCCACCAATTCAATACGAAATTAGATACATGATTTTTATTTGGAATTGTTAGGGATTGCTTTCATTTTTATTTAATTTAGTTTATAAATGTTTTTAGAAGTTATGTGGTTTTAAAGTCAAATCTACAAAACAAGGTCTATTCAGAGAAGTCTGTTTTTTCTTATGTCCCTTTCACTTTGCTTATTTTACCCCATTTCTCTAAGAAGAAAAACACGTATCTGCCTGTATTGAGACACACATGTATTTCCACCCTTAGATAAATGGCAGCCTATTGTGTACATTTTTCTCTACTTGGCTTTTTTTATTTACACTTTATCCTGGAGATCATTCCATGGCATTATAAAGAGATATATTTCACTTTTTTACAGATGCAGACATTTCTTTTGTCTGAATTTACCATATATTATTCAATCTGTTTTCTCTGGGTCAATGTTGGGGTTTACAGCTGTTCAATAATACAAAAGATTTACAACAAACATGAATGTATAAATCAATTTAGATCTAGTGTATCTCTGATATAGATGTCTAGAAATGGAATTTTTGTATCAAAGGGCAAATACATGTAATTTTACTAGTTTTGTCAAATTACCTTCCACATGTGTTGTGCCATTTTACAAACACATTTGACTGCACAAGGGAAGACTGTATAGGTTTATATGAAATATCGTTAAAAAGTAAATATGATCTAATGTCAACAAAAACAAAGAATTATGAATTGCATTTTTATTTAAGATACTTTTTTTGCTGTTAGTTATTTGTTTATATAATAGTTCTTTCTTGATGGGAGCTCTGTCACAAAATGATATTGCTAAATCTAATCCATTACAATTATACAGTGGAAAATTATCAATATTCAAACACATTCTCACTTACAAAGGACTATCATCTATAAAACCAGCTTATCTCCACATGATTCACCTTTTCATTAGAAACTTAATGAGTCGAAATTACACATTTGTTCATTGTCCATACCTCATAATAGACATTGGCCCTTTTTTTATCATAAGCCATAACCTATATATTATGAAACCATCTCACAAAGTCACTAACTTTTGACTAGAGACTAATGAAATTTTAAAATCATATTTTAACTACTTAGATTTGCTTCTTAAGGGTGTCTTAGCACAGATTGATAATTTTACTCCTCTGGCTTAAAGCTGTTGAGTGATTCGTAATGAGATGACTGACAAAACCCGAAGTAATAGTCTTGAAAACCACTACTCCTAAATCTGCTTCTCTTTATTGATACAATGAGGAGAGAATTAATTTTAAAAGGTGATGACTATTGATTACTTAATGGCAGAAGATAGTGTAGAGAAATGCTGAAGTGAGCCTATTCTCTGCCCTCCTGGACAACGTGACCCATTATCCAGTGGTGGAAATCATGCTATAACCCTCATTAATATTTAGCAGGCAGGACATAGGCTGGTGGTAGGCTACAAAATTGTCCTAGGCATAACTCCAAAAGGGCATAAGAATGTTTCAAGTATATAAAAGAGTAACAGATTTCCCTGTGTTCAGATTGTTTATAAGCAGGACAAGAAAACGCTCAATTCCCTTTTGTGATCTCCAGGCAACGATGGCCCGGTGGAAACGCCTATTAGGCAAGTCGAAGCGATTAATGCTCTGGGAAATCACTCTAGGTTAGTGAGCCCTGTATAAGGAGACTGTATTTTCCAAAGTGGTTCTCAATTTCAGTCCTTCTTTTTCTTTCCTCTTGCCTCAAGTTTAAGGGCTTTTCCACCAGGGCAGCAAGTCAGCAAAAGGTGTTAATTGTGTCTAACACAGCCACCAGCCTTGAGGCGACGTTCTGTATCACACTGTCTATCAAGCTAACCCCTTGTCACATGTCAGGATCTTTTTATTTCAGCTCATTTAAAAGGGAAACAAGGAGTTTTAAAGATAGCTAGTAGGGAGACATGAGGATAAGAGTGCTTGTAAGGACTAAAAGAGCTTTTGAAGCCACTTGAACTAAAATGGTCTCTGACTGTTGAAAAGACCATACAAAGTTTTATAGATTACTGACTCCCATTTTCAACTTTTCAGACTACCAAGTTCTTTTTCAGTATCACCAGCTTATTTTGAAAATATTATAGGTTTGAAATAAGATAAAGTTCTTACAATAGAAAATATTCTTGGGATTTATGGGTACAGAAAGTCCATAATGTCTGATATCCACCATCCTAAATGGTATATAAAATTAAACAGTGAGAAAATATCGATTTTTTTGACTCAACTACTCTAAAGATTTTGGAAAACGTGTTTAGGAGAATCATTTACTTTGCAGTATGTGAGGAATTGTTTATAATTACCTGGCTAGAATGAGTTACATACAAATAAAAATTTAGCTTTGTAGGCAAAAAGTATCCAAGAGAACAAGTCTTCTATTACCATATTAAGCTTTCTCTCAAAACCAGTGAATGAAATTGACCCAGAGGTCTCATTGTAATTCCATGTTAAATGTGGAAAAAAATCAGTTTTACTTTCAACCTTAGACTGTGAATGCCTAAATGCTCTTTTCCATTTATTAATAGGTCTGTGTATATGCCTCGTCTTTCTGACATCTAGCAGAGAGGTTCATATTATCAAGAATTACCAACAGAAAATGCATTGGCGGTCATTTTTGGTTTTTTGACAAATATGATCTTTATGAGGCACAATGGTGGATCTACTCAAATGCCTGTTTTTGTTTGTTTTGCTGTTGTTATTTATTAGTTGGTTGGTTGCTTAGTAATATATGCCATTCCCATGAACAAAAGTAACACTATACATTAAAAATAATTAATAGATTTTTCTCCAAGGTGCTTAACATGATAACATAAACAGATGAAGACATTTTATGAACTGTAAATATTATGTTAATAATAGTTATACCTTCAGTGCCTTTAGATATTTCAGAGAGAAGAGATTTTTTAATCCTGTATTTGCAAGAGACTGATGCTTTTGAATCATAATCTAATATGTTTAGCAGTTTTATCAGTGAAAGTCACAAATTCTAAATTTCCTTTCTTTTTTCTTTCCCATTTTATAGCGCAGCAGCAGTTTTGGGAATTTTGATCGTTTTCGGAGTAATTCCACATCAAAACCAGATGACTCAACTGGGGTTGGTATTTCATTCCATTTTTATGAATGTTATACAAATACATTATGAAAAATTATGAAGTCAGTATCATTTTTCCATAGTACAGTAAGAAAAAGGAAGATATTTTAAAATCATAGCATTGCATATATTTTTGTGATCAGTGAATAATTATTTAATGCCTAGTATGATGATGCTGGGCATTAAGAGTAAAAAGCTATCTAAGAAGCCTAACAAACATTTCGGAAGGCAGAACATCAGCTTAAGAAGAGAGTTGCATTTTGCAGTAACAGATGATCCCAAATTTTCTGAGCATTTCCACTATAAAACAATATATACATTAAATTTCATGTAAGTTGTAACTGCTTTATTTTAGGAAGTGATTAAATGGCTTAATTGTCCATTTGTTAAGGAGAGCATAGGCA